GAAAATTCAGTACCATCTACATGCTGTCATGTTCCAGACACTGCTCTCAACCACTCAGGGCCTGCATAAATACCTGCAGAAAGAAACACTTGACTTGGTGCAGGCAGTAGATTACAAAACAGCAGTTGAGAACACACTGAAAAGTTACCGAAGTAACGAGAAAGCACATGAGGTCTATGACAAGACCAAGGCCCTGTGCAATGATCTTGATATTCCCGAAACTGTGACACAGAGGAAGAAGCGTAGAAACATGGAAGACTTTGTAGTCAAGGCATCATGTGGAGCAATGTGAAACATTAAACATAAATAAACTGGTGTATAAAACTCACATACCTGCATTTCAATGGACAGCATAAAAGGACACGTGAGCTGGGTTCTGGTGCTCAGATTAGCTATTGATGATCACATTGATAAATCATATAAACAAATAGCCAATCTCACAAAAAACATGTTGCTGTGACTGTGAGCATTAAACAATTAACATTAAACTAAACAAACACAACAGTACGTTATTGTCCTTATAAAATAAAAACATACATTTTGTCCACCGAGATAATACAGGCACCTTACCCTCAAGAGATCCTCACGTGCTATGAGAATCTCCCACAATCCATTGCCGTAACAAAGCTAATGCAGGCGCACGTTTGTGACACCAGATGGCGCAATTGTGTATGTGCGTGTGGGGAGTCTTGCAGTAGAACATTTGACTGTAGCGACACTGGGCTAAGCCCCGAATGTTTCCAGGTCCAGGCGACGCCCCTGATATTCAGTCTTAGTGTGTGTGTGTGCATCGAATATTTTTCAAGGCAAAGATACGTTAAACCCACTGCAGCCTTGCACTTCGCCAGGAGAGGTAGCTGTAACTGAAGCTTCGAGAAATTAACCTATTTCCGACACAATTGTCCAAGTGGTTCGACGCTTCATTCAAAGCTTCATTTTGCCATCACTAGTAAATACCACCGCTAAACAGCTGATGTAAAACCTATAAAACAAAAACAAATCTTAAAACTGAAATACTTTTACACCCTTTTTGACGGTTACTGCCGATGTTTTCCGGGTGTTGAAAACCCACGTGACACGATTTGAAGACGCTATTGGATAAACAGACATGGAGCAACTGTCTGGACCAATCAGCGATAAGAAGAGGAAGGGCTTCCCTCTCACAAGATAACAAACAGAGATCGTTTTAAAATAAAATGAAGTTAACAAATGTTAATACACAAACATTGTGAAATTATGCATAAGGACAAGAAGAGGAAACATAGGATAGTGTCACGTCAGAGAATTATAATTGTTTTAAATAAAACTCAGTAAACGAGGTTTGAGGAATCTATTAATGAATGGGATAAGTATCATGCAATGTCAATTACATAAGTCTTAAAGATAAGAAACAAAGCAATAAACAAAAGACAAAATAGACAATAAGAGAAATCAAATGATTTGATATGTAGGCCTAATCTATATCTATCTATCTATCTATCTATCTATCTATAATTTACTTGGAATCAAAATGTTCCAGATCAACTTAGGAGGTGTTGTGAACATTTGAAGTGTGGTGAGAGGATGGGAGGTCTGGAATAATTTGGTGATATGACGGTGAAGGGAGTATAAAATGTCAGCTTTGAGGGGGGAAGTCAGGTCAAGAAGAATTTTGTACAACATCACACAGGACATTTTACTACTCTGCAGGTATGAGATATATTTTTTAATTGTTTTAAATGTAATTAGAATAATAGGGTATAAGGACAGAGAAATGTCATTGTGGAAAATACTTTTACACAAAACAATATAAGAAATAAAGCAGTTTTTAAGTGCCAAGGTTAGTATTGAAGAAATAAAAAGGTATTTATAACCATGTACAGCTTCAAGAGCATCATCTGATTTCACTTCACATGAATTGTGCAGGGCTTCACCAAGGTTACAGTGCAGACTCAGTGAGGGCAGCTGAGGTGATGAAGACGCCTCTTTCTAATAATGAATCACACTTGTTCAGCAGTGACTGCACACAATGAAACGGTGGATGTGTAACTTGATGTGATCAGAGACCTTTATTTTTCTTGGATTTGTATGTTACTTCCTGTGACTGAATCTGCTTTTTATTCCTCAAATCTGTGCTTTTATTATATATTATATTACCTCCTCAGATAATGGCTGACTTTGACATGGTGCTGAAGTGCTGGGGTCCAGTGGAGGCGGACTACGCAACCCACGGGAGTCTGGTGCTGACCCGGTCAGTGTCTCCTACCAGATTAGATTAATCTGCCCTCTGGGTCAGGAGGTTTGCAGGGCTGTAGAAATGTTTTTTGAAGGCACATTATTTTTCATTAAGTTCATATTAAATGTGAGGCCATGACAGTGTCCTCATTAGGGGTGAAACAATACATCAATATAGATTGATATAAATTAATTTACAAGTCAACAATCCATACAAATCATAATTTTTAAGATTTAGAATTAAACAAGACTTTTGAAGTAAAACAGGCTGTTTTTTTAATGTATTTAATTGATTAGATTTTCTTTTATTTGTATAAAGAAGAATATATATGTTTTAAACTTTTTATATCTAAATGGGTCTAATAGTTGTTCTAAACATAACGGAATCTGTTAGACTTTGTGATATCAGAAAATATTGTATTGATGTCAAAGAATAAATATAGAATATAGGCTATTATCATATTGTGATAAACTTGTGATTTAAACCCCTTGTCCTCAGTTGTGAGTGTTATTTCAGGTGAACCCTCACATTTCCTTTTCCTCGCAGTTTATTCACAGAGCACCCAGAAACCCTGAAGTTATTCCCCAAGTTTGCCGGCATCGCCCATGGGGACCTGGCCGGGGATGCAGGTGTTTCTGCCCACGGTGCCACAGTGCTGAATAAACTGGGCGATCTGCTGAAGGCCAGAGGCGCCCACGCTGCCCTCCTCAAACCTCTGTCCAGCAGCCACGCCACCAAGCACAAGATCCCCATTATTAACTTCAAGGTGAGGTTGATTGACATGAGGGCAAGTTCGAACGTATCTAGACCATTGTGGTTTGATCTTTCCTCCAACTTTTTGTGTCCTCCAACCTAATTTTAAAGCATTTTTTGTGATTCTTGTTTTCAGCTGATTGCAGAGGTCATTGGTAAAGTCATGGAGGAGAAGGCGGGACTGGATGCCGCCGGGCAGACTGCCCTGAGGAACGTGATGGCCGCCATCATCGCTGACATGGAGGCCGACTACAAAGAGATGGGCTTCACTGAATGAAGATCAGATTCACAAAGTTTTGCCGACGACAGACAGGAAAATGTACCACATGCACAATAAAATGATAAAAATGGTCTGATCTTCTGTAAGCCTAATTAAATAATGTTTGCAATTAAATGAAATCCATTACAGCAGGATCCTTAACTACCTATAAACCCTTATCACAAAAAAATTCTCTGCTCCTTTTTTTCAGGCACTATCCAAGATTTTATTCTTTTGCTGAATATTAAAAAACACTCACTTGATTTATGTGTTTTATTAGTCACCTCCTGTGTCCTCAATATTCAAGGTAATAGAGTTATAAATCAGTGCTGTTAAAATTAAGTGTGCTCATCGCAAATAATAAATTAAAGGAGAAAACATGTCGTTGCAAAGCCATTTCAATTTTTAAAAAATGAATTGGTTAGTGGGAAGCCACTCCAACATCTAAGAAACTGAGAATTTGAATGGAACCCTCTTTGTTTATCACACACATGTTCATGTACACAGCACACAGTGAAATTTGACCTCTGCATTCAACCCATCCTAGTCCTAGGAGCTGTGGGCAGCATTTGTACAGCAACCAGGGCGTAATGAGGGGGTCGTGCCTTGCTAAAGGGAATCACGGCAGTGCTCAAGAGTTGAACTGGGACCCCTCTAAGAACCAGTCCACACTCTCTACTTTGGTCTGTTCAGGGAACCTCCTGTTCCAATGCCAAGTCTCCACAGACTGAGCTCCTGCTGCCTTAGTGACAGTGCAGATGAGGTCAAGTCTACATCTCTTAGCATCAAGTTTGTGGACACACACAAAAAGCTCTCACAAACAAATGCAGACAGAAACTCACACGTAATATATATATTTTAAAAGCACTTAACACAGCAATGTCCCCAAAGAGCCTCACACAGTATTATCTTTCAGTTCTTAGAAACCTGACCCAATGTATGACCCTGTTGCTTCTGCTAACAAACTTAATGATGGCTCATTAACATATCATTAGCTCTCTGCAATGTGTTTGAACCCATAGGTGAAATGGTTAATGTATAATTCACTGGGTTAGGGTTAGCTTAAAGTCTGTTGTGCTTAAAACTGTCACACTCAAATATGATAGCAAAACTTCAAACTGCATTTGAAACGTCTCCCTTTGTTCCTTGAAACTTCAACTGACAAAATAGCCACTATCTTACAAATGTAGACACCAGACCTCTTTTCTTTTGGTTGACCAATCAAATGCCTATTTATGATGGAGAAGGTGAAACATATTTTGGTTATCATTGTCATTCACATCCTGACCCCTTGTGCCTCAGAGTTTCTGACTTCATGCAACAACAATGTTTTGTTGTTTGATAGATAATTGCCACGATGATAACCCAACTATTAATAGCGTGTGTGTGTGTGTTTGCACGTTAGGGCATGCATGTGGACGTGACACCAGGCACAGGGCCTTTCGTCACACCCTGGGGGAGACACCGCTGCCTCCCCCGTGGGCTGCTAACATGTATGATGGAAAGTGATATATTTAAAAATATCATTTTTTTATATCATTAACATTTAGTTTTTTGAGTCACCAAATGTAGTATAGTTAAGATTGAAATTACAATCCAAGAGTGTAATAAAACATTTACATTTCAAATACAATAATTATCAAATGGGGTTTGTCCTGTTCTTGAATATGACTGAAGAAAGTGAAGAGCCAGAAAAGTTTTTTAAAAAACAAAAAGCTGCTCTAGAAGCACTTTTCAAACCAAATGTCAGAATAATAAAGATAAATACTAGTCTTTTACTGTTCAAACGCATCTTTAATTTCTTGTATTTTCACTATTTACCTGATGGAAGCAATAGAACCATAAAAACACATATATTACAGAATATATACATAAAAATCATACTGTACTTTATTATAATTATATATACGATGCTTTCAATGAAGCTGTGCAGCATCATGTTCTCATTGATATACAAAAACCAGCAGATCCCACAGCACAGTGGGATGTAAAGCCCTGCACACACACAGGTGTTTACAATCAGTCTGATTAGATCTCTGTTTAGGTTGAAGGTAAGAGGAGCCGTGCTGAAATGACAGTGGAGCACAGCCAGGAAACTGTAGAGAAGAGATGTAATCTGCCAAAAAGTGTGCCAGTACTATGAGTGTGCAGTCTTTAACAGATCCATTAAACAAAAAAGAAAAAGGCTTTTATTGTAGCTATTAGCCAGTCCATTAGATAACCGTTTGAAGTTCAAAAGGTCACTGTATTGATTAAAATAGTTCAAGTAAAAGAACGTTAACGGCCGTTCACTGGCTGCAGAGATGCATTTTGACAGTCTCAATAATACCTTCACGTGTTGATCACATTAACAATGGTTATGTTTTATATAAATGTCCCAGTAATGTGTGCCAGCATGAATCGTAAGATTTAGCAGTGATGATCTGCACTTTAGGGAAACATTGCATGAAGCTGCCACAGCTATAAGCCAAAGCAAAAACATTGAATGTCAAATGAAACGGATTAAAAAAACCATGCTGATGTGTTCTTGGCTACCACAAATACATATACATGAAACAAACTAAAAATTGAGAGACACCCCTCCAAAGAAAACAAGAGCTAATCGAAGCTTGGCTGGTCGATGTCGGGGGGGACGGTGCAGCTCGTCAGGCTGGACAGGTAGAGAGCGGTAGCCATGGGAACAAGACCAGCCGACACCTTCAGGATGCTCAGCAGCCGCTTTGTAGCGTAGGTCACACCGTCTGGTGTCTGGAGGGGAAAGCATCACAAAGGAGTTTCAAAGAAACACTACGGAGAAACTTTCAAAAGATGTGTCGAAATGGCGTCGTTTTTTTATAGCATGCAGTCATACTGTTGTCTGTTGTCATGGAAACATGTAGCTGGGTATAGATGAGAGTAACGGCCCGTTCACACACAGGCATGAAAAAAATCTTGAAAAATCTTGATGCTGGGCATGTCTGAAGCTTGCCGATTTTTTACGACCAACGCGACCAACAACCAATCACATGAATCTCCCGCCCCCGACATACAAAGCAATAGCAATGTTAAAACGAAGTAAACTGGATATAAACTCCCCAAACAGGCGAAAACCTACCAGTTTCACCCACTGTCTCTGCCACCTCCCTCCATGCCTGGTTCCTCCGGTTTGTATCCCGGTAAATAGTTCTGGTCGTAAAGAACCGGGTGATTTGCTACCGTAATTTCTCGTTTGGAATATGAGGAAATGAACTGCGGTCTGGCTCTCCCAGCTTGCACGCGGTTTGATTGGCTAGCGCTTGTACTGGCGGGATTTGCATAAACATGATTTGATTGGCTGATGCCAGCTTCGAAAGCATCGGGAGCATCAAAAGTTGAACATTGCTCAACTTTTAATGCTCACGATGCTTGCAAAGCCATGCTCCGCTCCCCACAATGCAGTTCGGCGAAGATTCAAAATCTTCTACGTCACCCCATTCAAGTGAATGGGCGAAGCTTTGAAAGATTTTTTTCATGCCTGTGTGTGGACGGGCCGTAACACCTACGTCACTTCCGGGCAAAAATTACGGCCCGCCTACTTTTGGGGGAAAACAACGCTGTCATTTGAATGGCGGTCAATACAAATTCTGAAGTTTTTGCCAATCCGATCAAATCTTTTTGAAAACCATGGATTTTTGGATCTTCAAAGAGCTCGATTACGATGGCCAGTCAGGCAAACAATTACATTCGATCATTGGTAATCGACAATCGGTCTTGATATATGGTTAAGTTAAAATCAGTAGGCGAGGCTGTAATTTCTCCAGCTGTTACTCTCATGAGCGAGGCGGAACATAATAGTTTTATCATGCCAAAAAGCTGCCGTGTCGTTTATTGAACCTCAAACATTAAACATAATCAAGAGTTCAGTGTTTCTGTACTTCCTCTAAGAAGAAAGGACAGTAGCAGAAGAGCTCTGTGGCTTCAGGCTCGATCGCCATTCAAATGACAGCGTTGTTTCCCCAAAAGTGGGCGGAGCCGTAAAGTGACGTAGATGTTACTCTCATCTGTGAAAATCGATAGCCTACTGCTATATTTAACCATATATCAAGCCGATCGTTGATTTCTAATGGCTTAATGCAATTGTTTGCCTGTCTGGCCATTGGAATCAGGCTCTTTGAAGATCCAAAAACCTCCGGTTTTCTTACATTTCTGATCGGATTGGCAAAAACTTCAGAATTTGTATTGTCCGCCGTTCAACTGACAGCGTTGTTTTCCCCCAAAAGTGGGTGGAGACGTTATTTTTGCCCGGAAGTGACGCATTTGTTACTCTCATCTATAGTTTCTCTAAAGTAAGGATTAGATGCTTTTCTTTGTTGTATATGATAGTAAACTGAATATCATGGAGATTTAAACTGTTGCTAAGACAAACTAAATATCTGGGGGAAATGATAACAGCCATCCCTCAATACCTTTTTTAAATAAATCTAGAAAATAATATCCAGATTAATAGATGAAGACGATATTCCTAATTTGCGGCCCTAATAAAATAACTTTGTCTTCTTTAGACTATTAAAGACCCTCATCAGTGCATGAAATTAAGGATTTTACAGATGGCCCTGAGCCCAATAGAGATTGCCCTGAAAAATGCGCGCGGACGAAATGTCGCACGAAGTGTTTGGGGGGCCTCCCCCTAGAACATTTAGATTTTTGCAGGTCTTAGATGCTGTCTGGTGCATTCTCTCTTGTCCCATAATTACTTACAAAGTAAATGTATTCATGTTCAACATAAGAATAATGACTGAACATAACAGCATAACAGTACAGAACTGTGTTAGCCAAAAAGTGTGTATGTGTGTGTCTCTGTGTGCTTGTGTGTGTGTTGTTAGGGCTGTGCAATTAAATCGTATTTTAAATCGCAATTACGATTTTGGCCTGCCACAATTACAAAAACAACATAATCGAAAAAAAACTATTATTTAGCTTTGCTAGGTTGTGACAGTGCACTACAACATATTTGATCTAATTAATTTTAGTCTAATTTATTTTTATTTATCATATTTATATGTTTAGTAGCTTGTGGAAGTGCGTTCCAAAATATTTGTTGATCTTGTTTATTGGTATTTATTATTTTGATATTATTTATTTAAATATATCATTTATTTAATTTATTTTTGTATTGGTTTTTCAGTTGAATTATACGTTCAGGGTAATCAACAGTTAAAAAGATACTGTTCAAATTATTATTTGTTTTAAAGTTTTTAAATGTTTTCAAAGTCAATGAATAATCGTGATATCAATTATTGACCAAAAATAATCGCGATTATGATTTTTGCCATAATCGTGGAGCCCTAGTGTGTGTGTGTGTGTGTGTGTGTGTGTGTGTGTGTGTGTGTGTGTGTGTGTGTGTGTGTGTGTGTGTGTGTGTGTGTGTGTGTGTGTGTGTGTGTGGTGTGTGTGTGTGTGTGTGTGTGTGTGTGTGTGTGTGTGTGTGTGTGTGTGAGTAACAAGAGCTCATATATTCAGATATTCAGAGCTCTGCTGCCTTGGCTACAATCTTTCATCGTTGCTGTTGTATGATTGGTGTTTAGCTACGGTATTTAGCGTCTACAGCACCTCCGCTTTTAGGGTTGACGTAGACCCAAACGTCGCCCGGAGGTCCCCCGGTGTTGTTGCGGGAGCTGCTGCACTAGCTAACGCTCCACTAGCTAACTCTGCACTAGCTAACGCTACATTAGCAAAACAAACGCTAATTTATTTTTGCAAAAGGTGCAGCGGGCTTCAAACACGTTCCCTCCACTGGTTTCAACCAAGCACTAAATTCAATGTTTTCCAACCAAATACGGTTGAACTTACACTTCCCCATATTTATTTGTAAGTAGATTCGAAGAGACATGAGTTTCTGACTGCCGCTAGCAGAAGCTTGGTTGCTAGGTTACTAGCTGGGTGTTCTCCGATAAGGGGCCGGGGGAAACAAAGTGAGTGATTACTGGTTCCATGTTGATTTATTTCAATACAAATTGTTGGGGCTATTACCGTACTGGTTACTTTGCAGCCCGGACATTTTCCCCAAAACACATTTTAGACGCGATTGCAACACAGAAGTACCTTTCAAATCCCATCATTTTTAAGACCTTCTAAATCATATTTAAGACCTTTCTTATTTTTTTGGTCATATTTAAGACCTTAAATTCAGATTATCAAATGTAAGACTTTTTAAGACCCCGCGGGAACCCTGTGTCAGGCACTGACACGTCTCCACAATTGCCATAATAGGTTGCCCGATCGGGAAACCAGCAGGTGAGGCTTCATTGCCCGAGCTAAATACTAGATTGCCTCGGGCCATCGGGCAGTCGTTAATGTCGAGCCCTGCAATATATCCTGTTCCTGGCTATTGTTCAAATCTGTCTTCCCCTTTTTCTACACATACATTTGTCTCTGTAATGATGAATCAGTTTAAACCATCATAAATCTTTGTGTGAAAGGTTGATTCAAACCTGATCCTCTGCAAACAGCAAGGGGCAGTGCAGCGCTGCAGCCAGCTTCCTGACAGCGTCCAGCCGCTCGGTCGGCACTGACGCGTTACGAGCTACAAGAGACAGATTCATGACAGAGCGGCGGGTCAGACTGAGACACAGAAAGGCCGCTCGTTTAAGAAACAACCAAGGGAGGCATGAGGTACATATAATAGTGATAGATCTATGCTTCATGTTACATCTTTTGTTCCTGTTTTGTCCAACTTAAAATTTGATTCAAGAAGCTGAAGAGAGTAGGAAAACACTTCTACTAAGAACTGAACCCGTCGACGTACCATTAGTAACCATGAAGCAGACTTTTCCAAGTAAATATCCAGGGTCCAAATATTTCAGGGAAGCTTCTGCTGACTGGAAACTATAAGAAGACAACATTATACATGTAAAACGATTAGTTACAATATAATCTATTCAGGGTTCATACAGCTTTTAACAAGTAAAATTCTGCCTTTTCAAGGTACATTTACAGACAATTGAAGCCTTTATCTTATCATTGAAATGACTTTAAGGCCCCATTTACACGGGAACGCAAAGGAAAACGAACCAAATTCGATATCAAAAAAGTCTTACGTTCACACGCAATCGGCACAATTAACGTGTCCGTTCACAGGAGACCGCTCGAAAGCGCTGGAGACGCTGTAGTACATATGCCGGGCCTGTAAGTGGCGCTGTACTTCCGCCACAAAATACACCAAAAGCAGCGAAGAAGACTTCCCGAGCATGGTTGCCATGGTTGCCCTTCTGTTTATTCTCCGCGGTGGATTTAGCAGCACAGGTGGGGAGAGGCAGGGGCCAGGGCTCTGGCTGTTTCTCTTTTTCTCCCTCCCCGAGGCAAGCGTTTGCTCCTGCTGTAAATATCTCCGGTAGTCCACCAGCAGATGAAAAACACCTACCTCTCCGCCTCTTCCAAGGGACGAGGGAACCGTGCGGCAGAGTTTCTCCGCAGCAGCTGATCTCTCTCTCCTGTCCGATAAGACTTCACTCGCGTTTATGTCCATATCGATCAAATCTAGCTGGAGGCTCCTGCTGGGTGCGCTGTCCTGCGAGATACCTGGCTCGAAACACTTGGTTGTTGTTGTTGTTGGCGAAACACATCAGCAATGACGCGGGTGACACAGGGGTAAGCAGGAGAGATGGGGAGAGGCGGGGATATGGCGTACACACGGAGCCGTTTGACCCCCCAGAGCGTTCTGTCCACAGATCTACCCACCTTGGGACCCGTTATCGTTTGAGGGGTCCGTTTCCGCGGTTCCGTTATGGCCTCGTGTGAACGAACGGGCTATATGAAAGAGAAAAGTAGCGGATACAACCCGTTTCGTTCCCGTGTAAACAGCGCCTAAATGCCATTGAGAGAAATTAAGTATCCACAGCAATCAATGTGTGTTACCACTTTGATTACTTCTTTGTCTGGTTTGGGACGTCAGGAGACAAGAAACAAATATTGGACTGTTTCATTGTATTTAATTAAAGACCTTTAACCTTGAAAACATAATGGTACAAGATATTTTTCCTCTGTGTTGAGGTGATTCAAATATAAATATGGGAGGATGTGAAAGTTACCTGAGCTCTGAGGTGAGGTTGATGATAAATACCACCAGGTCTATCCTCGGTCGGCTCTCCTCATTCTCCTTGGGCAGAGGCAGACTCTTAGCTAGTCTCCTGATGGGTAAAATATGAATATGTTCACCTTTTATGTAGCAAACAGAGGATAAATCATACAGACGTTTATGATGTGTTCATGTCATCAGACAATTTAGGTCGAGTGTATGAGGATTTAAAAAATACAATGCATTGACAATAATCAAAACATTAGCATATACAACATTTTTTAAATAATAATAAGGGTTAGAAGATGGTGGTTCCAGTTGTGTGATCACTGACCATTTACTGTGTCTGAGCAGAGCAATTTAAAAGGAGGCAGCAGTACTCACACATACACAGTGACGGCGGTCTCCTCCACCAGAGCGTCTGCTAAACTCTTCTGAAACTGCTCCTCACACTCCACCAACTGGAGTACAAACAAACCATGTTAGCACAAAGCTGGATGATATGACACTGTGATTCAAATTAAAGCAGCACAGGATTTACTGAAGATGTCCTTCAATATGTACTTGAATATGTTGTTGAAATTAACTCAATAGCCTATAATATACTTAATTAGTTGCTGGTACTTTGCTTCAGTTTATACATTGTGTGCAACTTTAATTCTACCCACTATAATTTAAAGACACCATTTTTTTATTCATCTGACAGAGAATACACCTTCATCAGATATCATGTATGTACAGAAAGGTTGTCAGATTCTGCTCACATCAAGTACAATCAGTGTTTCCGCCAGGGGGGCGTCTTGCCGTCATTTGACGGCCTTATTCAGTTCGGGACGCCCTGAACTCGAGCCGAGGGCGTCCAAAAATATTAATAATTCCAGAGAAGATCGAGAGTTTTTATCACTTGAAATGACGAAAAGGAAAAAAGGACAAGGACATCCCTCTGTTGGAGGGGCAAAGGAGTCTGGTGGGATTCTTTTCGGAGTATTGAAGATTGTTTCCCCGACATCGAAGGTGCCTGCTACAGGACAACACGGAACATGCGCGATTTGGAAGCAATGAGCGGGGGGTTTTAGTGGAGCACACGCGTGAGCTGCGAGCCCCGGAGCGGCGATACTGATACCTCATTCACACCAACGCAACTCCGGTTCAAGCTCCGTGCTAGAGCTTTTCAGGTTCAGAACCGGTTTTTCGGTTTAGCTCCGGCTCTTTTCACACTGCCCAGAGTCCGACTGGTGCTGCGTCATTGCATCATCGTTTGCGTCATGACGTAACCGTTTGCGTGCCTGCTTCATAAAGCCAAACCTCGCGGAAACCCCTCACAGCTGACACCGACAACAACAACAATTAGGGATGCTCCGATCGCCAATTTCGGGGCCGATCGCCGGAATCAGTATCGGCCGATACCGATCGCCGATCCAATCGAGTGGGCGGGGCCTAAATGGAAGATTTAAACATCACTTTAAATCTTCCATTTAAATTTGAGAGCATACTTTATGTATTTATTTCACTCAAACCCTGTCCTCACACTCAAATAGTGCCTGCTTGCACTTAGATTTGCTCTGCTTGTGCTCAAACTGTACGCTTGCACTCAGATATATTGCTGCTTACATATTTTTTCTGCTCTCAGATTTATTCTGTGCGCGCTCGAAACTTTTGTGCAACAATCCTGTCAAAATCCCTCAACCAATAGGAGGCCAGGTGTCCTTGCGGATGCGTTCGCTTTACTTATTACAGCGTCCCGTAAGGGCGGTTACTCTTTGGTTTATAAACTCGCCCTCCACGGCTTTTTTTGTTGTGGGGGGGGGGGGGGTAAGCACAGTTAGTATATGTTTATAAAATTCAAATCAAGCAATCTGATGTTTCTTAGCCGTGATATAATGAGCGTATATCCCGGGTATAATTGTAGTTACTTTTCACAAATCAGTATCCCTCCGCGTCTGAGAACCGTTACAACTGTTACATTACGTCCGTTATGAAACTAACTAACTAGGCTAACTAACAAAGCTTAAGATGGAAACATTTAAGGTTAACTTCGACCTCCGGGGTGGCCTTACTATGGAGGAGTGGATTGAGAAGTGCCTATCTCCAGAAAAAAAAAGCACCTAAACGACGTCTAATATGTTCTCTAGCTGTTATTGTTGTTGCATAGCAACCACCTCGCACTATGTTTTGTGCAGAAGGCAACGGAGGGACTATTTTATTTTATACATCATTATTTAATAATAAAAACTATTTAAATTGGAGTGTGTATTTTTCTTTCACATTGCCAGCCACACGTGGTAACCGTTTTATAAATGCAATTGCTCACTTCAGGCCGTGATATACGAATATCTATACAATATGGGGTTGTCGACACTCCGCTTCGCGTCGGGCCGAACCAAGCCGTAGCACAACAGTGCTGGAGCAGAACAACAGTCTGGAGGAAGAAGTGGGCCGGTCGGAAAATTCACTAGCAATCCCCCCTCCCCCCGTTGACAATTTATTAGCGATAACGAGGACCGGTCGAGATTCCCGGGCTGATTTTTAGTCCCAGTACGCCACTGAACGTAGCTATTATGTAAGGTGCTGGTATATATATACTAACTGTGCTTCCCCCCCCCAAAACAAGTTGTAAATCAAAAAAGTGAAGTACATGCTATGTTATAAAGCCGTGGAGGGCGGGAGTTTATAAACCAAAGAGTAACCGCCCTTACGGGACGCTGTAATAAGTAAAGCGAACGCACCCGCAAGGACACCTGGCCTCCTATTGGTTGAGGGATTTTGACAGGATTGTTGCACAAAAGTTTCGAGCGCGCACAGAATAAATCTGAGAGCAGAACAAATCTGTAAACAGCAATATATCTGAGTGCAAGCGTACAGTTTGAGCACAAGCAGAGCAAATCTAAGTGCAAGCAGGCACTATTTGAGTGCGAGGACAGGGTTTGAGGGAAATAAATACATAAAGTATGCTCTCAAATTTAAATACCACGCTCTTGAATAAAGATAGGGAATAACCCCCATAGTATCGAGGCTTGTATCGTTTTGGGCCAGTGACGTCATCGATGACAAACGAAGCCTCGCTGCCTGTCGATACCACGTGACTGCTTCAGGAAGCGATTAAGATCGGTTGAACCACAACGCTCATACCCATGGATGTATAATAAGAACCATATTACCCCTCCTGTACCCGGGCCCGGTGACACGATGGAATCAAGAGAGCTCAGACCCTCACTTATATAGAGGTCGGAACATGTCATAAGTATAAATAGATACAAGCATAAATAAATGTAGGAATACAAACATGAATAAATACAGGAATAAATATGGTGCAGTGTTTTCAGGGAGATTCAGTGTGTGGGCTGTGACTCAGCTGGAAAGCAGTTGACTCATGACCGCAGGGTCTCTGGTTCAACAACTGGTCAATACGTATTTTTTGTTGTTTATAAAAGCTACAGCTAAATGGGATAATGTAGTTAATAAATGTATTCTTTGATATGGTTTAGCCTTTCTCAGGCTACAACATGGTTAAGTTTATGAATGAATGCAAATCCCTCTTTGCAATGTTTTACCAGCCTCCTTAGGCTTTTCATTCACAATCATTCAAAAACAATATTGTTGACATGAAGATATGATTTAATGTTCGTTGTTTAGAGTTATTCTAAGGCTTTACTCATTGGGAACTCGGTATGAGATACAGCACACTGTTGAGATGTCCAATCTGCCTGTTTTACACACTTTGACCAACAGGAGGGTTTGTGTTCAAATCATAGGTTGAAATGAAGCCCATGATGAAGCCTCATGAGATGAACCCTTTTGCGAACCAATTGGCTGGACAGCTTCAAAGCTTCATAAGGCTTCGTCTCGCCATCACTACTAAACACCTTAAGTCCTGTCATCGCGAGCAACTAAAACACAACATTTAAAGCTATAATAAAACACAAACTCACCAGGATGTTCGCTGCGTTCAAACCAGGCAGCTTACTAAAGGGCTTCAGCAAAGACATCCTGATGTAAACACTCAAAACAATCCCTGTTCTGAATAAAATGTTGTAAACAAATCCTCTGCTCATTTCATACTCACTCGCGCTTCTTTTCTGAACGTGCGTCTGACATCACGTTCTTCCCCTGACGTCATCACGCTCTCCCTCCACAGGCAGTAGCTTTGCGCCCCTTGCAGGCTGCTGGGGGTTTCACAGTTCAGCCGTGATGAAGCATCGGAAGTACAGACTTTACTCCTGGAGCAAAACGCTGCATCAGGAATTTAGGAATGTAATGCAGCTGACAGCTGTTAACACATATCTGTTAAAAATGATACATTTGAATTCACATTTATTTAAAAAGCTTTAGTTAATACATACCTCAGATATGTATTTCATATTTTAGCACTAGCCTACTGTGTTATTATGCATTTAATGGATTAAGCCACTGAGCAGTACATTATTGTAGTTCCTAGCTGCAACATTAACAACGCTTAGACCATATTTTGAATCCAATATTATGTAAATAGGCAGTTTTGCATACTTTCTTATGAATGTGTTCTATTTTAATGCTAAAACATTCGACCCTTTACAAATCATTAATGGTTATGGACCTGTAAACTCATATTTGTTATTTATTGTAATTGTAAAAGTTATTTATTTTTGATTGTTTTGTAAACATTTTTTTATTTATTTTTAAATGTGTTTACAACATGGCGAACAAGACGCTGAAGACGATGACCTAATCTTTCATTTTCAAGGAAAATGTGCGCTAGATCCTACACGGTAAGCATGTTGTAACTTCCGGTTGTTGTTGTTGTTGTTGTTGTCATCTCCGGGTATCCCGTGTGCCTGTTCTGTTGCTGATAGCTTATTATCTTAACTTAATCGATCGTTTTAAAACTCTTGATCACGGCAACTGCCTGACGTTGTAATCACACGTTACTACTGCTTAAGCACTCACAACTCTCCTTCTCTTAGCGACTGTAACTCCACAGTTGGCTACACTCTTTTCGGGTTTGCTAACAGTAGCTACTTTAGCTTGATAGCTAGCCATGGCTCTTTCCCCACCCTCGGGTGTTATTTCCTGCTCTAACTGTCTCATGTTTGGTTACTTCCCTACCTCCTTTACTGGTACCGATACATGTGTTAAATATAGTATAGTTGTTAGGTTGGAGGCGGGAATCATAGCCATAGAAGCCCGGCTCCGCATCTTAGAAAGTAACTCAGCTACTCAGTAAAGCCCATGTTAGCCGGTGCGGACCGGCAAAATGTAGCTCCTCTTAGCCATCCCCCGGCAACTCCCGAGCAGCAGGGAGACTGGGTGACTGTTCAGAAGGGGCATAACGCGAAACCCGCAGGTCCCCACCTACCCGTTCACGTATCTAACAGATATTCCCCACTCAGCGAGACACCCGCTGAGAAGCATAGATATGTCTCATAATTATTTGTGTGAACATAAAAATAATTTGTGTGTAAATATTTGATTTGTAAATGTAAAACACCATCCACAAATGCATTTAAAAGATTTGCAAACTCACAAATACATTTGCAAGTATTTAAACTTATCCGGTAAGTTCGAAGTGATTATATAGATAGAAATTAAATGTTGTGTTTATTTGCCATTGCTATGGTCAGGATACGTTTTTGTAAGTAATATTGGGATTTATTTAAACATATGCATATGTTTCAATTGTTTTTTTCTTTTTACAACATTGTCATTTTTGGAGGCATTGATGGCTTCTCCAGAAAGGTGTGTTACAATACTTAAAAATCCATAGACACACACACACACATTTATATACATATGAGAAATGCTAATGTTTTTATCCAGTTAACAGCAAATCCACACATAATGTAGGCCTACTACACCAAACCTCTCCGACTTCAATAATCTGACCGCTATTAGTATTCCTTTCAGCTTTAAAAATAAATAAATGAATTGATTGTGTCTCCCTGATATAGATCATGTACCTTGGAACATCACATGACAACTGTTCTTCTACTACACTGGCATTCTTCAGAGAGTCTGTCCAACAGTTTGGATACCCACTCAGGTACAAATATCTGTCTAAAGTGGAGGTGAGGTAACAGTAGCACCACCTGGTGGCAGAACCCTACATTTAAATTGACAGATGGTGAAAAACAAAAACAAACAAAAAACACGTGAATTTAGAGACCGAAGCCTCCACAGTCACATGCATTCCCGGGGCCAGAGCGGGCGACGTTGAGGCCAACACACTCTCACTCCCTAAGCGTCCAGGAGCCTCTCCTGTGACAAAATGGCATCCAATGTAATAAAAAAAGTCAATCAAAGAACTAGATTCCTATACCGGATCTCCTCTCTGGTAAACAAAAACACCCTGAAAACTCTGGCAGGAGCACTCATTCAAGGGTACTATGACTATGCTTGCACGTCATGGTACCATAGCACCTCCAAGGCACTAAAAATAAAGCTTAAAAACTTGGCAAAATAAACTGGTCAGACTACTGCTTGACCTTTCATCTAGAACCCACCTCACCTCTGCCCACTTTGACAACCTAGGATGGCTTAGAGTAGACGACAGAGTACAGCTACTTGCAATGGGACTGGTCTACAAGATCCACTACACCTCTATGGTACCCATGTACATGTCAAAATTCTTCCCAAAGGTCAAGGAATACCATGATCATAACACCAGAGGGAGCTCCACAAATCATGTGAAACCCAGATTTGGCACAAAAAAGGGGGAATACACGTTTCGCAATTATGCCACATCAAGGTGGAACGCTCTTGCCACAACTGTAAAGGAAAGTAAAACTATACTTACCTTCAAAACCTCTCTTAAAGAGCACCTTCGGGGGAGAGCATTGCAAAACTGGCCCCGGTGATGGTACAAATCTCAACCTGTCGTTCAATGGACAGCTTCCCCCATCCCCCCCCCCCCCCCCCATCTATGTATATACTCGCATTTTAGACTCTGTTACTAACTGTATATCTGTAGACTTGGTATGTCTTATGCCCCGGCCACACGAGGACGAAAACGGCCGTTTGCGTTACTGTTTAGTGTCATATAGACCATTCGGCCATACGAGGACGACCGAATACGGCACTAAACGACTGCGTAAACGATAACGGGTCCCAAGGTGGATAGAACGGCATACGCAACGCTCTGGGGGGTCCAACGGCTCCGTGTGTACGCCCTATACGATCATTTTCTGATAATGATGAGGCAATAGCCACACCTCTCCCCACCTCTGCTGCTCACCCCCGCGTCAAAGTAAACTGCACACTGAATTCAGATTATCTATCTTTCTCTCAATATGGACATAAACGCGAGTGAAGTCTAATCTGACAGGACGGAGACACGCAGCTCTGCTCACCTGCAGCTCCTCCCGCTGTGATGCGGCGGTGAACGGAGTAAAACGCACACTTCAAGTCCGATCATCACCCTTAGCTATTTTATTTATTACCTCTCAAACTACCTAAACTAGATATAAATATGTTTATTTTTACTGTCGGCCGGGTCACTCATTACTGGATCAGCTGCTGCATGAAACAGACACTGGCGCGCTGTCCGAAGAGAGGGAGGAACAAGAGAGGCTCCGTGTATTTTATTATTATAATATATAGATTCGTTATTCATTTGTTTTAAAGCTCAATAAATAACAAAGAAGATCTTTGACCGGCACTTTTATAATTTTGTCAGAAGATTTAAACTTTAATACACGTTGACTGGCGAAAAACTCTGCCCGGTTCCCTCGGCCCCCACCGAGGAGAATAAACAGAAGGGCAACCATGACAACCATGCTTCTTCGCTGCTTTTGTGGAGGAAGTTACAGCGCCACGTACAGGCTCCTGCATATGTACTGCAGCTTCTCCAGCGGTTGGAGCTAAACGGAGCGGTCTCGTGTGGGCAGACACTATCCGGATAACTATTGCGTGTGGACGGAAGCTTGTTTGAGATTGCGTTTGCGTTAATCCTATGCGTTTAGCCGTTTTCGTCCTTGTGTGGCCGGGGTCTTAAATGTCCGGTTAGGATGTATTAGAACGAAATCTAAAATGAAAATTGTAAATAAGCAATCTGTATGTAAAAAAACACCTGTATGTAAATTGTAAATAAGCCATCTGTATGTCAAATATGTCTTATATGTCTTAAATGACATGATGAATTGGAAATGGGGGACCCTGATGTAAACAAGACGAAAGTCTTTCTCTGGTCTGCATCCCCTTAACAATTGTATGTTTTGAGCTGTACTGTACTGTACCCAATATACAAGCTGTTAATAAACTTTTCAATCAATCAAGCGACGTTTGGTCAGTGTCCGTGGCGTCCAGTTGTGACGCTCCTAGGCTCCTTCAGCGTCATAAAGGGACGCAAATAGCTTTCAACTGATTGCTATGTATTCCCATCTGCGGCGGGATTTGACGCTCATGGAAGCACGGCATTCGTTTGTGTCGGCTGCCCTTAAAGGCAATGTGAGCGTCCATTCCCATTGGATAACGGAGAATTGTACACCCGGAAGTAAGTATTCCTCTTACTGTCGATTGATTTTACAGTGATATCTGCACTACTCATCGACTAAAAAACACCAGATTATCCTTGATAATTACACAACATTGATTGGTTTAAATTGTGTGCAATGCTTTTGTATTTTTCCCCTTCGAATCGGAGAAACAAATATTTTTTCGGAGTAAAGGATGGCAGAAGACACTACACTACCCAGAATCCCCAGCTATCGTTTCGACTACACCATGTGCTCTGTTTGACAAACCCCGTTTTTTTCACTATTCATTCCAATGGCTGGCGTCTATGTCACGTGATCTTCAAATTTCTCCCTGCAGAAAAAGAAAACATGGCCGAACTTCGTTTTATTCTCGGTGGAAAATGCCAATTTTAAAGTTAGTTTGGCCATTAAAAAGCATTTTGATGTCATTTGATGCGAGAAATATGAGTTGTTATTTCAGATTATGTGTGCAGTGGATGTACATGATCTTTAGTTTGCTAGTTATTACGAAGATTACTTCAGGAAATCGCGACGTTTTCATTGTTACCAAGGTGGTTGCTAGGGACGCTGCTATCGATATTATTTCTGTTATGTTGTGTAACAGTTTAATGGTGTTATCTTTATTGCTACCCCCTTCCCCGTCAATGTATAGTGTTGGTCCACAGCGCAAACATATTAGTTTAACAAAATCCGCATCTAAAGATAGCCTACGTTATTTTCCCCTGTGCAATTTCAGTCTCAAATCTCACAGCACATCGTCATTAACAAATACCGGAAACAGACCGAACATTTAAAAAAAAAAAAAAAAATACTTTATTCCGAGTGTGCTTGCTTTTCTCTTTGAAAGTCATCACATAACGGCATTGTAATACACGGTTCGGCTGCATTAAATATTACATATCTGCCGTAGTTTTGTATTTATAGAGCCCTGATGAGAAGACTTAGACAAACATGAGGAACTGAAAACGTGACGTGGATTATAAATATATCAGCCATTAAACAACATCTTACATTTCTTTTCACACAATACGTCTCCTTGCAGTATCAACACTAATTCGGCTGACTTTTATATTTGATCCAATTGGTAGATAGGCTGTATTTACACCATAAAGGTGCACAGCTGATATAAAGGGACACCTAGTGGTTAAAGCATGTTATTGAATTTCATTATTTTTATTATTAGATATTAATAGGATCCCTATAAAGTATATTCATTACTCGTTATTCTCTACTAATAGTTAATTAAAGACTGTATATAATGACTATTTTGCACATCCCTTTCAAGATTTTCTAAGGTTTAT